AAGTCCTAATTCTGAGTTAAAACCAAAAAACTCTCAGAAGAAAATATAAGAGTAAATATTACCTTGGATTTGATCCTTTAATTTTCAGAAATATTACCAAAATCACAAGCAAAAGAAGAAAAAAATAGATGAATTGGATTACATAAAAATTTACAATTTTTGTACATCCAAGTACACTGACAAAGCAAAGCAAAACAAAACAGAACAAAAATTTGCAAAGCGGAAAGTTGGTAAGTGGAAAGTTGGTAAGTATGTGAAGAAATTGGAAATTGGCACTTGACTGGTAAAATGTAAAATAGTGCAGCCACTGTGCAAGACGGTTTAGTAGCTCCTCAGAAAATTAAATATAGGGATCAGCAGGTGGCATAATGGTTAAGGTTCTGGACTGCCTCATGGCTGACTAGAGTTTGAGTCTTGGACCCAGTGGCTTGAAACTCATGCCAGGTGCATGTGCGTGTGTGCCCAAAACCCTGAGAGGAGAATGGAGTAAAAGGGATTGCAGTATGGCTATCCTCCCTGCAGGGGTGGGGGTGGGGTTCTTACTTTCTCTCTCTCTTGTCTTTCCCTGTCTCTGGCAAGTACACATACCCTATAGCAAAAAAAAAAAAAAAAAAAAAAAAAGTCTCTCTAAAGAAAGAAAAAGTACAAAAATAAAGAAAAGAAAGAAATGGGGAAAATGTTAAATATAGGATTACTATATTAAAGGAAGTTAGTGTATTACCTTATCAAGGACTTTAAAGATAGCATTAAAATAGAAAAGAAATCCCACACCTAGGTATATACTCCAAATAACTTAAAACAGGTATTCAAACAAATACTTATATGTGAATGTTTATAGCACTGCTATTCCCTGTAGCCAAAATATGGAAACAACCCAGATTTGCATCACTGGATTAGTGGATGAACAAAATATGGTATAATGATACAGTAGAAAATTTTTTAGGGTAAACAGAAATGGAAGTATTGATATATGCTATAGTGTAAATGAACCCTGAAATATCATGCTAAGTGAAAGAAGGCAGACACAAAATGTCACATAATGTGTGATTGCATTTATATAAACTATCCAGAAGAGGTAAATAGAGACATAGAGTAGAGGAGTGGTTGACAGCAGATGGCATAGTGGTTAAGGTGCTGGACTCCCACATGGCCAGCCGCGATAACCACGGTAACCAGCAGCTTGAAACTCACACCGGGCACATGCACGTGTGTACCTAGACTCTCAGAAAGGAGAGTAGAGGAGAAGGGGTTGCGACGTGGCTATCCCCTCTGGAAGGTGATTTCTCACTTTCTCTCTCTCTGTCTGGCCAATGCACGCGCCCTATAGCAAAAATCTCAAAGGAAAAAAAAAAAAGGAGTGCAGTATTTCACTTTGAGGTAATGAAAATGTTTTGGAACTAGGCAGAGGTAATGGTTGTACTAAATGATACTGAATTGTACATTTAAAGATGGTTACTATTGCATTACCTGAATTTTACCTTGACTAAAAGAATTACATCATACAGTTTCTGTGATCTCACAAGTAAATGTGGCTTTGCTGTCATAGTTACCTTGTGACTGTTGGAACCATGTGCTTTGTAGCATTGAGTACATGGGAAAGTTATTTCCAGCTGTGGGCTGAAAAACTCGAAGACAGACGCTCCTAAGTGGGTTTCTCCCTAAAATAGCAACTAAGAAATAATAGTATTGCTTTTTCATTTCTATTTATTGAAACTGGTAAAATTTCTACTTTGAATGGACTCTGGATTGTTTTACAATGTTACCTGGTCTGCCATTGGTTGGTGTCGTCATTTAATATGAAGAAGCATGACTAAAATAACTTCATATTATTTAGAGATGGAACAATTTTTGCCTTATGAAAACTGTAGTTTTAAAATACTCTAAGTACTTAGATTAGTAAAATAATCTAAATACTTACTGAGTTGCAGTCAGATTTTTCTGATGGTTTTCCTGTGCTGCACTGCTAGAGATTTTGTGACACTTCCAGAAACTGTCGCAAATGCCTTTTGTTGTCAATAGAATTAGTATCAGGAATAAGAACATTATGTTTTTAGATCAATCAAGCAGAGCTTGTGCAAAAACTAAAAATGTTAATTTTCTATTTTTGTCTTATACTTATTTTTTGAAGAAGGAATTTTAGTTTATATTTTGGCAAAAGATCTGCTATTGAGAAGAGCCTCTTGCTCAGAAAGTTACATGTGTTTTGCTGGTGATCATGACACTTTCTTTATGAATGAGGTTGATGCTTCTGGCCAGTAGGGCTGTGTTTTTTGTTTGTTCATTTATAATAGGGAAATTGTACTCATGCACACAGGATAAATAAAAGGGAAGAGGGAGGGCAAAGAGGGTCTCTTCATACTATGATCCTCTTCCCAGTTCTCCAGCTATTCTGGATCTTGGATGCCCATGTGCATGACCAGTGTGTCTTCAGGCTATCCCAGGATCTAAACTTGGAGTGGGCCATGTGGCTTCCAGCCTTGCAGGACACTGTGTAACTGCTGTGCCACAGCAGTCGGGCCAGTGCTGGACTTTATGGGGACTTATTTCTTGAGCAAATATGTTTATGCTAGTTGTCTTGTACATTCCTATCTGGTTCCTCTTATGACCTCAAATATGAGACTGAAAATCTATACCCATTAAACAAAGCTAACTTGTCTGTCATGGATTTGAACCCATAGCTTTTGGTAACATGAGCATCATGTCTCAATCAACTGAATTGCTGTCTTGCTTGAGCAAGTGTTTTGCAATTATGATTTAAAAGTTAGGAGGGATCTGGTATACATAGCAAAATATCTGGAATAAATGTAATATGCTGAATTAGTGTTGAATAGAAGTATTCAGCTTAAAGGAAATATTGCTTCTGTCTTCTCCAAAGTTAGGAGGATTTCCTTTGTGTGTTCATATGATAATTTTTTTTTTTAATTAGAAAAGGTTTTTTTTTTTTTTTTTTTTTTTTTTGTGGATTGTGTGTATATAGCATTTTTTAGATAGGACCTTGGGGTGTTGGGATCCTCCTACCTCAGCCTCCCAATTATTGGGTCATTGGAAAAGTCATGATGCCTTTTTACAAATACATCATGACTTTTCCGACGACCCAGTAGTTAGGACCACAGGTGTGTGCACCGACCCAGCTTTTTAGCATGGTCTGGTACTTGAACTGAGCCCCCACCCCCACTTCAACCTGCTAAGCAGCAGCATTCAGTGTGTGCTACCATGGCTAGGCCAGAAAAGGTCAGTGGTTAAGTTACAGAAAATTAAAAGGTTTTTCAATGAGTTATTAGTTTGGAAAAAAAATTCAGTAAGAGTTAATTAGACCTTGAGCTATTTTAACTAGACATACCAGGTCAGCAGTAGGAGAAAAATGAAAGAGGTGGGTGACATTGTAGCTTTCTAGCATTATAGCTTACAAATTCTATTTTGCCAAGGGACCTGTGAAAAGCAGCATAGGGTATAATGCATTTCCCTGGGTAACTTAACCAGTTTCTTCATCTGGGCGATTAGAATAATAGAATCAACCTCATAGGGTATTATAATGAGTGAATTAGTTAATGCAATTAAAGCTTTTGGAACAGTGCCCGACATAATGTAAAAGCTAGACATGCATATGCTGAAGAATGAGAATGCTGGTGGTAAGTTAACCAGGAGCTATTCGTGAGAGGGATGCTATTTAAGGGGCAAACCTGTGTACATTCATGAATGCTCATAGTCTTGGCCCTTTTTGGTGTATCGATGCCTGGATATCTGTTCAGTTTTGAGATCATCTGATATACTCTGCTGCTAACAGGCATCTGAATCAAGAGCTTCAGGAAAGAGAGAGGACTCAAGAACAAAGGTTTTTCAACTGTTTCCCAAGTAATTTTAAGATCTCATAGAGCATCTTTGTTGGTTTGTTGAAAATATAGTTACTATGTCATTCATTCACCAAGAGTTTCTGTGTGCCTACCACTAGCACTGGGCAAAATGGACAAAATAGGGGTGACAGTTACAGTTGAAGTATCAGAGACAGATAAAGTAAACAGTTCCTGGATCTGGAACTCACAGTCTGAATGAACCATGTCGGTACCTCTGAATCATACTGGGAAAACCTCAGGACTGCATGGAAGAACGTTAGAGAATAGTGCATGCTTAAGAGCGTGCATCCTTGAAGTTGTAAGGAGGCCACCCATATGCAAATAATATTTCTGGTCTGGCCCTGTAGCCTATTTGTTAAGGGCGCTGTATCCCACATAGCTAAGCATGATTCAAATCCCAGCCAGGCCTATGTGCTTGCGTGCTAAAAATCCTGACAGAATGGAGAAATGGAGAAGGGATTGTGGTGTGACCATGCCCCTTTTGGGGTGCTTTCTCCCCTCCTCTTACACTGTCACTCAGCTTCTGTCAATTAAAAAATATATTTATTTCTGTCAAGCCATCTCAAAAATACATGGAAACTCAGTGGTGGAAAGAGTATTAAAAGTGTTAAAAGATTTGGGGGCTAGCAGATTGCATAATGGCTACGTCACTGGACTTTGATGTAGTCTACTGCAGTTTGAGTCCCAGACCCAGCCACTTAAAACTCACACTGGGCGCATGTACATGTGCGTGCATGCCCAAAATCCTGAGAGTAGAATGGAGGAGAAGAGATTGTGGCATGGCCATCTCCCCTGTGGGGTGATTTCTCACTTTCTGTCTCTGCCCTATAGCAAAAATCTCTCTCTTAAAAAAAAAATGATAGATTTTAATCAATCATCTTGTTCTGATTTGTTATTAGAGACAATTGAGTTGCATTACTTCCATTTATGTTTTCCACTTTCTACTAGCATTTTTAAATAATTTTAAATGGCCAGTTTATATTTCAGTGATCTCTTTTTATTCTCTTCACCCTCCCTATTTATTTTTTCTGTTGACATATATGTTTCTGGTAAAAATTAATTAGGAGAGGGGATTGATGAGATTGGATACCTTAGCTTCCTAGAATAAGCTTTCTCTTCTCAAAAAGTGATGTGTTGCTGCTTTTATAGGACTTACCTGCAACTGCAGAAGCAACAAGGGACCCTTTAAAGATGTTCGTGGGGCTGTGTAGAATTAAGAAGCAGACTGAAGAAAGCAACGAAGTAAGGAGAAAGTATGTTTCCCAGGTAAATGGCATGCTTCTGAATGCACTCAGAACCTTTTTGAAGGTTTCTTGCTATTCAGTACATCAGATACTGTAACCTGTAATGCTCAAGTCTTTTGAGGCATATTTAGTCTTCATGTTGCTGCTAGACATTATTTATTTTCTGTTCTCTTGTTTTTATTGTTTAACTCTTTGATTACAAATGATTCTCTTTAGGATTAACCTAAAAATCTGTATAGAATCTACAATTTAGGTGATTTTTTAGATGATTTGGTACGAATCTATTGTAACTTAGGTTGACCATTGGGTATTGTAAAAGTAGCCTTGTGTGTGGTGTTTTTGTGATGTGCAGGTTTAGTCCAAGTGTCAGCTTTCAGTCTGAGCACAACACTGAACAGTTGGGCTTTATTAAGCAACTGATTTGAAAAATTAGAAAACTAGTTTGAAGCCATATTCTCAGGTTACAACATAGGAGGTACTACACATATCTCTGGAGTTTCTGGACTAAAAAACCTTTTTTTTTTATTTTATTATTTTTTTTTTTTTTAGAGATTTTTGCTATAGGGCATGTGCACTTGCCAGAGAGTTAAGTGAGAAATCACCCCCCAGGGGGGAGGACCACACCATCCTCCCTTCTCCTCCCTTCTCTTCTAGGGATTTTGGGCACACTCACACCAGGTGAGTTTCACGCCTCCAGGTCTGGGACTTGAACTGGAGTTGGCCATGTGGGAGTCAGCAATGTAACCATTACCCCATCTTTTGGCCCCCAAAAAACTTAAAAAAAATTTTTTTCATAATTTTTAAAATATTACATTTAATCACATTTATCTTTTTATCTGAAACATTTATTTAAAGTTAATTAATTTACATTCATTCCCTAAGCATTGTCACAGCATACAAAATGTGATTTCCCATCTGGAATATACTGCATAGTGGCTTAATCATGCATGTTATCACCAATAATTTTCCATTTCTAGTTCTTTATGTATATATATATTTTTTAGCTCCTATTTCTGACTCTCTGCCCTTTCCCACCATCTTCTCCCACTATCTCTGGTGTCTACAGTTGTTTTCCATTCCTTTTCCCCCAACATTTTATTGAACACAATTTTTTTTTTTTTTGGAAAGGTTTTCCCTATAGAGCGCGTGCGCTCGCCAGACGGACAGAGAGAGACATAGAGACAGAAAGCAAGAAATCACCCCCCCAGGGGGGATGGTCACTCCTCAATCCCTTCTCCTTCATTCTCCTCTCGGGATCTTTGGCATGCACGCACACGTGCCCAGTGTGAGTTTTAAGCCAGCCGGTCTGGGACATGAACCACAGTCGACTACGTGGGAGTCCAGCGACATAGCCATTACGCTAACTGCTGGTTCCCCATAAAACCTTTTTTAATGCTAACTTTAATACATAAGACAAAGTACTAGTGGATAATCAACATAAATAGACATACCCTTTACTTGAGGAAATAGATGTGCCCTAGTAAACTTTTTAAATAAAATGCCCAAAATCCCAAGAGGAGAATGGAGGAGAAGGGATTGTTGTGTGTCCATCCCCCCTGGGGGGCGATTTCTCACTTTCTGTTTCTCTCTCTGTCTCTCAGTAAGGGCACATGCCCTATAGCAAAAATCTCTCTCTAAAAAAAAAAAAATCCCAAATAAATAAATGTTTTATTTTATTTTCTATTATAAAGTTAAGAACCTTTCTCCAGTGTGCTGAATAGAAACTTTTGCAGTGAGAGAAGGAAAAGGAGACAGAGTCCTCTACAATATATGATGCTAGTTTTGTACACAATATTCTTAGACACCTCCATAGCAACAGGACCTCGCCACTAGCCTGGATCCACCAGTCCATGGGAATTTCCCCACACTTGTAAGTTTTGACAGCACTGCCTTGTGATAGGGGTCTTCCCTGTGCTTCAGCAATGAATTGATTGTAGCAGGGCTACTCTTGGATATATGATATATTCCCCCCAAGGGGGGATGGCCACGCTGCAATCCCTTCTCCTCCATTCTCCTCTCGGGATCTTGGGCACGCACGCACACGCACGCGCCCCGTGTGAGTTTAAGCCACTAGGTTCAGGACTCAAACTGTAGTCAACTACATGGGAGTCTAGCGACATAGCCATTATGCCATCTGCTGGTCCTAGAGAACATATCTTAAACTGCATATTAAGAGTGATAAACAGCAGAGCTTAAAAACTATTGTCAAAAAATTAGCTCTTGGGACCAGCAGTTAGTGTAATGGCTATGTTGCTTAACTCCCATGTAGTCGACCAAGGTTCAAGTCCCGGACCTGGTGGCTTAAACTCACGCTGGGTGCGTGTGTGTTCGTGCCCAAAATCCCGAGAGGAAAATGGAGAAGGGATTGCAGTATGGCCATCCCCCCTGGGGGGGATGATTTCTTGCTTTCTATCTCTCTCTCTCTCTGTTTTTCTGGCAAGCGCATGTGCCCTATAGCAAAAACCCCTAAAAAAAATAGCTCTTTGATCTAGTACATTAATTTAGAGCCAATTTAGGGGTATAACTGGCAAATCAGATATTTTTACTAAAAAAAAAAAAAGACATAAAATATTAATGGAACAGAAATGTCCAGGAAAGCTTTGGATGGTGAAAGATAGGGCAGTACACAAAAAAGTTAAAATGGTTCAAATGGGAAGGTGACTTGGAAGAGGAATTTAAACACACCATGTGTATGCACGTGTGTAATCATGACAGGATGGTGGAGTGGGAGAGAAGGGATTGAGGTGTGCCTGTGCCGCACTGGGGGTGGGTGCTCTCTCCCCCCTCTCACTCCCTCTCTCAGTCTGCTTCCCTCTGGCCAGTGCATGTGCCCTCTTGAAATTAAAAAAGAAAGAAGGAAAGATGAAGTCCATGGTCAGGGTATGAAGGTAGTAAACCCTCATGCATGCTTTCTACTGCAGTAATGCTCAGACAGAGATGGATTGTCCCCTGCCACCATCACTGGTGTGACTGTGGGTCATGTCCCCCTCCGCTGGTCCAAGTGTTCACTGCCTGCCTTGTTGGACTGGAGCTACCAGTATCCCCTCTCAGGTTTCTTCTTTTGAATTAGTTTCTTATAGAAGTCTTTCTCTTCTTATTTGCAAATATCATAAATGGTTCTAATTTTTGCATTGCATGTTTTTAGATATTAGATTATTAAATACCTAGTAGTGAGTATCTCTGCTTGGTTGCCCATTAAAATCACCTCAGAAGCTTAATCAAATACTAACACCTGGTTCTACCCCTGGAGATTCCGAAGCATTTTGTCTAGGATGAGAGGCATGGGCATCACTATTTTAAAAGCTGCCCAGGAGATTTTCTTGTGCGCTCAAGTTTGAGGACCAGTGATACCACTAATTTTTTCTATATTGGTGATTATTCTGGCCACTTTAAATGTATCATAAACATTTGATTTCTTTGGGCATGTAAGTATATATAAAATGGCATTAGGTTGAGCGTCTCTATTACAAAAAATACAAAATACAAAATGCTTCAAAATCCAAAACTTTTTGAGTACCAACATGATACCATAAATAGGGAATTCCACTCCTGACCTAATGTGACAGGTCACAGGCAAAATGTTGTAGTACAGAAATATTGTCTAAAATTCAGGCTATGTGTATGAGGTATATATGAAACATACATAAATTTATGTTGGTTCCCATCCCTAAGATAGCTTATTATGTACATTCAAATCTTTCAAAGTTCAAAAAAATCTGAAATTGGAAACATTTGTATCTTGGGGGCTGCACCACAAAGTTTTAAAGCAGGGGTGAACCATGTTCAAGTTTATTTTTAGAAAGATAATGCTGGTTGTCATGTGATGCAGACTGTGGAGGCAAGTCAGGTAAGAGGCTGTGACAGTCATTAAGATGAAAGGTGAAGGCAGCCTGCACAAGGGGGTAGTGGTGACAATGTAGAAGAGAACATGTGTTTTGAAGCAGAATCTAAAAAGCTTGCTTAGAGCCAGTTTTGGAATTTCTCACAGCTTAGCTATATACCAGCAGTGCAACCTCGGCGAGATTTCTTCATCTCTCTGAGCCTGTTTGTTCTGTTTAAAATGGGGTTGAAGGCCAACCAGTTTATGTGGTGGTTAAGACATCTGGATCTCACATGGCCAGCTGTGCACTTTTGAGTCCCAGGCCCATCAGCTTGAAAAACATGCTGAGTGTGTGTATGTATGCCCAAGATCTCGAGAGAATAGAGAAGAAAGGGTTGTGGCATGGCCATTTCCCCTGAAGAGTGATTTCTCACGTTCTCTCTCTCTCCCTCCAGCAAGTGCATGCACCCTATCACAAAGTTAAAAAATAATAAACTAATAAATAAATAAATAGGTTAAAATGATTACCTCATCAGGTCATCAGGAGGAATAAATGATGTATGATAAGTCTTAGAACAGTGTTTGGGGCCAGCAGGTAGTGTGGTGGTTAAGTCACTGGACTCTCATATGGCAGACTGTGGTTTGAGTCCTGGACCTGGCAGCTTGCTTTCTCACTTTCCCTCTCTCTATCTCTTTCTCCTGAGTGCATGTGCCCTGCCGCAAATTAAATAATGATGATGATGATAGATAGACAGATAAAATTAAATAATTCTTAAAAAAAAAAAAAAGAAGTCTTAGAACAGTGTCTGGATGTAGTAAGCCTGACAGGGGCTAAATTGAGAACTAGGGACTGCCTTGGAGGGGTTTTGTTTGTTCGTTTTGGGGAAGGTGATGATAGTGATAGAACAAATTGCTACCTTAGGAAGTGGGGTAAAGGCTGTGGAGTGGGGTTCAGGGATTATTTTGGAGAGAAGCAGAAAAATGTTTATTTTAGGATTCATTGAATTAAGAAACCTTCAAGACGTCTAGGAAAACAGATATAGGAACAACTGGAAATAACAGGTCAGAAACTGGGAGCTGGAGGAAAGGTATGAGACTCACTTGCTACAAGCATGTTGAAGCCTTAAGAACAGATACAACCTGCTCCCTCTGCTTCCCGAGGGAAGTGGAGTGACTAGGAGAGCACATGGAAGGGAAACAAA